TTTTATTACATTTTCTACTACATATTGATGCCCTTATGCTGTGTAGAAAGTTTGAGCCAATTCCAACTTCAATTTTTCAAGTTACGGCCATTTTAAAAAAACGCCAGAATTCTAAAAAATATCCAAGGCTATTATAGCCCATGGGTTTTTCCAAAAAATGGCTCCAAAATCACCCCCAATTTTTATTATATTTTCTAATACATATTGATGTCCTTATGCTGTGTAGAAAGTTTGAGCCGATTCCGACTTCAATTTTTCGAGTTACGGCCATTTTAAGAAAACGCCAAATTCTGAAAAAATCCCTGTACTATAGCCCATGGATTTTTCCAAAAAATGGCTAAAAAATCACTCCCAATTTTTATTACATTTTCTGATACATATTGATGTCCTTATGCTGTGTAGAAAGTTTGAGCCAATTCCAACTTCAATTTTTGAGTTACAGCCATTTTAAGAAAACACTAAAATTCTGAAAAATACCCTGTACTATAGCCCATGTTTTTTCCAAAAAATGGCTAAAAAATCACCCTCAATTTTTATTCTATTTTCTGGTACATATTGATGTCCTTATGCTCTGTAAAAAGTTTGAGCTGATTCCGACTAAATTTTTTAAGTTACATCCATTTTAAAAAATTAGCTGATTTCTAAAAAATCCCTGCATATACCTAATAATACCTTATATAGCTCATGCTTATTTTCTAACTTACGTGTTTTGCTTTGAGTGTGTGGTACATCCTCTTCTCCAACGAATCTCTCATTTCCTTCATCTTCAATCGACTCATTCTCTAATAGTTTCAACTCCTCATCACTAACATTAATATCTAACAACAACAAATAAATAAATAAATAAATTTATTAAATAAAATAAAGTAAGTGGTCTTACATCATGAACATGAGCAGCCATTATTTCTACAACTTTTGCTTGATAGCTCATGTTGGCTAGTGATTCAAGTGAAGGCATCATCTCTCTATAAAAGAAAGAAAGGCAGAGTATATGTGCATGTATTACAGTGTAGCCTCTATATAATGGACACTTTGGTACAGGAAGCTGCTCTGTTATACAAAAATCACCACCCTTTTTTATTACAATTTTCTGATGCATATTGATGCCCTTATCCTATATAGAATATTTAAGCTGATTCTGACTAAAACTTCTTGAATTTTGAGTTATGACCATTTAAAAAATATGCGACTTTCCATGCTTTGTAGCTATAGTACAAGTACTATGCTAGTTTCATGCCA